TTCCAGGGTCGCAGGTGGGGCTGACAGTCTAGCTGTGGAGTCCCTTGCTGTTACCCACTGTTAGGCAGCAATTGTCATTCCCAAGAAAGAAAACCAAAAGGATGAATGCAGGTTCTCATTTCTCCTCACCTCCTATTTTGGAGGGTAAAGCCCTCCTTTCCTTTTAGGAAGGCATGGGTTACATTAAATAAAGTGTGCAAGCTGCGGAGAATTCTGTGGCTAAGATAGACTTTCGAGCTGTTTTCAGAAAGAAAATAGAAACCAGAGAACCTTTATGACTAGCCAGCTGGCTGGTGACAGAAGTGGGGCTCAGCCAACCCTGGCCTGTCCATTCACCTGTAATTAACACTGTTCCTGTGAGGGGTGATGAGTGCCAGCTTTGAAAATGAGGCTGAGATCCAGTTTTTTAAAAACCAGAGGATGTGATCACCAACATACCAAAAGAATTCTTAAATGGAAGGGATCTTTCTTCCTTTTTGAACAAAGTTTGAGCCTCATTATTTCTCTAGAGATAATAAGTTAGTCTTAATTTGTTCCGATATGTGTTTGCTTTGCCCTTGATGCACTAAAGCCATAATTAGAGGATTTTTTTTTTTTTTGAGGATTTTGTTTTTTTAAAAAATTTTATTTTGCAAGCAAATCATTTCTAAAATGATATAATGTGACCCTTCTTCCACAGTAGTTGGTGTCAACTCTTGTGGTTGATATGTTGGAGCCCTGGGAGTTGGCCTTCCTCTGTATTATTTCTGAGGCCAGCCTTGTGTGGAAATAATCTGTTGTCTATCCCTTATTTCTTTCTTTCTGTGCAAAGCTCCCCTTCATCACCCCATCCATTCTGTACTCAGCCAGGTCTTAGGCTTCAGTGGAGTTGGCTCAGGTGGCTGCTTAAGCAGTAAGAGAGGAGCCAGCTGTTTCTTTAAAAACAAAACAAAACAAATCAAGTCAGGAACTTGCATACGTGTATGTCCTCTACTCTGGAGTTTCACACTGACTCCTGATTCTTGGCAAACATTTGTGGCCTGCCTGTCAGGTACCAGGCCTGTGCTAGCTCTTAAGAGATTCCAGGTTGAGTAATTCACAGTCCTTGACTTCAAGGAACTCTCAGTCCTGTAAGATGAGACAGTTGAAAAAAAAATAGATGTGGTAACTTTTTTTTTTTTTAAATAACATGTTAAAGGTGCAGTCATAGGGAGGTAAGAAAGAAAATGCAAGAAATTTTAAGCAAAGTTGCCTCCTCATGATGACCCTTGTGCAGAGCCCTTGAAGAGACTGTTCCCCTAGGAGAAGGGGCAGCCCAGGTGTTTTTACTGAGTGTCTGTCAGTTTGTTAAGGGAAGAGATATGCTGCCTGTAGGGAAAGACTTACCACACTATCTTGTTCTATTTGTCTATATGAACAGCTAATGCGGGTACAAAGTACAATGTCCAAAGGGATAAAAAGGAAATACATGTTGTGGAAAATGTTTTTCTCCTCTGTTAACCGTTCAGTTCCCCTCCTTAAAGGCAGTGGTTAGTTTCGAGTTTCTTATCCATTCTAGATGGATTTTCAGGTTCACACACGAGTGTCTATATATGTGTATGTGTGTATATGCGTGTGTATGCCTGTCTGTGTGTGTGCCTGTGACATGTTCTTTAAAAATACAAGCATGCAGCTAGGTGTGGTGCCACACACCTGTAATCTCTATTACTCTTAAGATAGTGATGGCAAAAAAAAAAAAAAAAAAAAGATAGTGATGGCAAATCTTTTAGAGCATTAAATGATACAAACAGCCCATGGCAGCACTCATGCTCTAGGTTTGCCTGTGTTGTTGTAGGAGGGTGAGGCTGGAGACAGAGAGTTTGAGAGTTCAAGCCCAGCCTGGGCAGCTTTGTAACTTAGTGAGACCCCCATCTCAAAGTGAAAAATAAAAAGCGGATTGAGGATGTAGCTCCCTGTGAAGGCTTTGGATTCCACCCTTGGTCTCCGCCCCACAACCCCTCCACAAAACCCAAGCATTCAAATGGTTTTCTTAATGTACTAGCTTTAGCAGTAGTTCCATCTTTGCAGATTGAAATTCTTTTTGAAAGCACTGCCTAATAAATATTCTGTTGCATTGGATTTACTTTAACTTGCTTAACCAAACTCCCTTTGAATTTCTAGGTTGCTCTAATGTTTTGTCAATATAAACAGTGTAATGAATATCCTTCCCATACTTCATTGCTTTGCAGATGCATTTTTTTTTAGTCTGAGACAGGGTCTCACTGTACAGCTCTGGCTGGCCTTGAACTTACTTTGTAGCACAGGCTACAAAACTCACAGTGATTATCTGGCCTCAGCCTCCCAAGTGCTGGGATTATAGGAGTGTACCTCCGTGCCCAGCTGCATACATGATTTCTGAGGACAGATTCTAGAAGTAAAATTGATAGACCAGACAGCTTGTTCATTTTGGGGACAGAAATTATGAAGTTGCCTTCTCAAGAGGTATATATTTACCGAATAATATGAAATTTAAGATTATCATTTGGGTACTGCTTCCCTGCCCCCACCAATTCTCTATATCCCTACCAGAGTGATCTGCCTAATGAGTTTTGTAACTTCCCTACTCATCCTCATAGTACAACCTGGTTTTCAGGATAACTTTTTTGTTCGTTTGTTTGTTTTTTGCAGAACCGGGGTTTGAACTCAGGCCCTTGCTCTTGCTCTACTGAGCTATCTCCCTGGCCCCTGGGATAGCTGTTAAACTCCCTGGCTTAGCCTGTCCTGAGCCTCCTTCTGTATGATGTCTTCTTTTCCCCCTTACTTTCCTTTTTCCCTTCTTCCCCTCCATTTTTAGACCTAGATCCATTTTATACATTTTGTAGAACTAAATTTAGCATTACTTCTTCCAGTAGTCTTTCCAACTGACTGCCTGCCTCTGTGCACAGAAAACAGCACCACCTCATCCATTCATCAGGTAAATATGTGCTAGGCACGAGCTGTGGTGTGGCAAATGTAGATGGTGTTCTTCATGATCAGTGTTGTTTCCTTCAGGGTTACCTGGTGTGGCTGCATCTGAAACGGTAGAACAATAGGATCCACTGTCAATTGTTATTAGCGATGGGAGCACTGAGCACATCCTTTAATTTCTTTGAATGTCGGGTTTTTTTTTTTGCGGTACCGGGGATTGAACTCAGGATCTTGTGCTTGCCAGATAAGCGCTTATTGTACTGAGCTGTCGCCCCTGCCCCTTGAACTTCAGTTTTAGCGTCTGTGCATGAGCAGGTGGAGCTTGATGATCTTGGATACTGCTGCTTTTCATGTGTGGTGGCACACCTCTGCAGCACATCACTCTGCGAGGCTGAGGCAGTAAAGGAGCAACTCAGTGAGACCCTGTCTCAAAATAAAAAACTAACGAACTCACTGCAAAGCTTTATATCAAATCCCCAGTTCCACCAAAGCCCAGCAAAAAGCAGCAGAGGTTACTGAGGGCTTACAGAGGGCCAAGGACTTTACTAAGCCCATTGAACCTAAAGCCCATATTAACCTTCCAATGACAGTGTGATTACTGTCCTTATTCCATAGATGGGGAAACTAAGGCTGAGTGGTTCTGTGACAAGCTCACAGTAGGGGCAACATTTAAATCCAGGCATTCTGTCTACCATTCTCAGCTACGTAAACACGTGTACATTTATACACACAAAATTTTGTGTACTCTGTGAGTCACTGACAGACAACCCCAGGCCCCACCACCAACCTTTGAGTTTGAAAGGCTTAGATTGAGTCTCAGTTGGAGCTGGGTGTGGAACATGCTTTGTCCATAATAATTTGAGGGAAGAGGACGAGGACCAGTGGTCGGATCCTTGCTTGCTTCAGGCTAATGGTTGTTGAAGGCACTCATAGCTGCTTCTCTGGGCCAAGAGAACCCTCTTACTGTTTGCTGTTGCCCTCCCTGGAAGGGACAGGGGCCTGTGTTAGAAATACAGATGCAGATAAAAATCATGTCTGGTTAATGTCTGGCGGTCTCAGGGGCACCCTTTATTAGGCTTGTGGAAGGCAGGCTCTCTTATCTGCTCACACAAATCCTTATTAATAGAGAAGAGAGCATATGGAATTTTTAAAAAGGAAGTCATTTTATTTGGACTACCTGTCATAAACTAGAATATACAAACAACTGGCAGATGAAATCCAGTAGGGTAGCTAAAATATAAAAGATACACACTGTAATGTGTCCTCTACCCAGCTTCTTCCCTAAAGGCATATAGAAAATGATTCTTAAAGTCTTGATCTCTGATTGTTTTTATTTTTTAAAGGCATTAGTTTTTACTCTTTGGAAATCTCTTAGGCCTGTGGGTGGCAGGGCTCATGAGCAACTGTCACCTGTTCTCTGCCCCCATCAGTATCAGGGACAGCCAACAGAATGTGGTCTCTCTGGTCACAGGTGTGTCAGATGAGCCTCGATTCATCAGGCCATGTTTGAGATTCATTGCTTTGGAGTCAGATCCTTTGGGGCTGCTCAGCCTCTGGCAAATGAGCACGCTGGCTGGGCCGTGGCTCCTCCTGCTGCATTCCTTCTTGAGGCGGCATATTTCTGCCTTTGAGACACATGCTCACGTTCATATCCCCCCACGCCTGCCGTGGTTAGTTGTGTTCTGAGTCCAGGTGGTGAAGGCAGAGCCTGACTCGGGTGTGCAGTTCTGTGTCAGCAGCTGCCTGCCTTGGAGCCTCGGAGGCCGGGGTGGGGAAGAGCCCAGCGGTTGTGCCCACCTGAGGCCCAGGTGAGCTGGGGCTGGCTTCTGACTGGATCACAGGCATCTGGTCCTGGACAGGATGCTGATAGCAGCTAGCTGCTGGCCTTGGCCTTCCCCAGAAGGAGGTGAAAAACTACTGTACTTGGCTTCTCCTGGCAGCAAGGATTCTGTTGCTAGAATTCTTTCAACTTTGTATGGGGTTTGTGGCTTCTTTACCAAAGTGCTTGCTTTTAATTAACTTATGGCCCAAGTTTTCCCTTACTAAAGTCCTTGTTTTTTATGTATTTGTCATAGGTGAATCTATCCCTTGCTGGCTTTAGGATTCTTCTGGATTTAAAATTTTGTCTCTTTAATAAAACTTGGACGGATAAAAGATGTGCCATGGCAGGATAGCACCAAAGAGCAGCTCAGCGTTGGTTGTGGACTCTGTGGGACATGGAATGTTCCTTCCTCTGGTGATCCTTAGTACCTTGCTCGGAGACGGACTTGCTTCAGGTAAGTCTCAACCTGCCTTCTTCCTGTGGGAGGGAAGGGACTTTGAACATTGTTTTCTCCTGGGACCTGCCATAAGGGAGTCTTTCTGGCAGATGGCTGCTGGGAGAGAGGGAGTGTGGGCTGCGAGCTGGTCTGTGCTGTACTGAAGCAGTCTGTAGGATCTGACAGCCTCTCTCAGGGCAGAGGAAGTGTTGGAACGTGTGACCCATGATAGTAGCATCATCTCTTCTTCCAGCCAGCACCACCACCAGGTGGGACAGGAAGTAGAATCTGGCCAGGTGGCAGCTATGGGCTGGACTGCCTGTTCCTATGCTGGCTCTGTGACCTTGAGCTAGTTGCTGTGTTGCTGTGAGCCTTCGGTCTCAGCTGCACAGTGGGATAATAATAATAGTACCCAGCTTGGGGGTGGCTGTGAGGATTGCTGAGATAGCACAGGAAGTACTTGGTGGTTTACTCCTTTTGGTCTGTCTTGTGTCTTTTTGTTTTTTTTTCTGAGTGAGTACATACTTGAGGTACTGTGATATACCTGTTAACTGACTGACATGATCTTGAACAAGCTACTTAACCATTCTGTGGTATAGTTTCTTTTGCCTGTGAAATGAAGGCATTGACCTGAATGATCTATAAGGCCTCTTACTTCTGGCTTCTTTAGTCTAAAGGACTTTTTTCCCCTAGAGGTACTGGCATTGAATCCAGGGTCTCACTGAGTTATATCCTCAGCCCTTTATTATTTATTTTGAGACAGGTTCTCATTAAATTCCAAGTTACCTAGGCTGGAATCTTTTTGTCTCATCCTCTCAGGGGGTTGGGATTACCAGTGTGTGTCACCATACTGGGTGAGTGATTCTTAGGACTTCTAGCTGAAGGTGGAGTTGAAGAAGCCCTAACAGGACATGTAGCCATGAGCCATTTTGATCTTGGGGGGTTCTTGTTGCCTTCAGTAATGCTTTGGAGACCCCCCCCCCTTTCTCCTTCAGACCAGGCATCTTTTTTAGAAAGGACATATTTGGGTGTGTCCAGTAGGCCTCTGGGCAGTGTACCAGAGCCTTGCTCTGTCATTGAGCCTGGTAGTAATGGTTCCCCCAGCAGACTTCATTAGGAGGATATGTGTGGCCCTTTCCTTGGCCAGTGTGCATTCTCTAGGGAGGGAGCTCAGTGCTAGATTCCAAAAGGGGACTTTAGTGGGGCTAGTAGAGAAATGGTATGTTGTGACTGTAGAGTCCCCACAGCTCAGTCCTATCTTTTTTATTGACTTCTGTCTGCTTCTACCACCTACTTACTAGCACGTACAAGTAATAGTACAAGTTCATCTATATGTCTTTTTCTACTGAACTGTCAGGAGAAATACTTGATGTTTTATGTTGCTGTTCTCTCTTAGCCTTCCCCAATCATACACATACCTCTTTTCCTTTTTGCTGCCTGCCTTCTGCTTTTTTTTTTTTCTTTTTTTTTTTTTTTTTTCTTTGTGTATGTGTGTGTGTTTAGTACGGGGTCTACAGGATCTCACTACACAGATTAGACTTGCACTGGGATTACAGGTGTGCGCTACCATGTGCAGTCTTAATCGCCCTCTCAGCTTGCCCCGGGAACAGGGCCAGCATGGCATGCCAGGGATCAAGCCCCAATTCCCACATCTACCAAAGCAGGGCTTTAGTCCACCATCTGCTTTTGTGTGGCCTATGTGCTAAACATTTTATAATTTTAGAGGAATAGTATTTCATTACATGTAGAAATTAAAGGAAATTCAAAGATAAAGTTTGAGGGGTCGGGGAGATGGCTCAGTGGAATAAGCGCTTCCCTGGCAAGCGCAAGGACCTGAGTTCAATCCCCAGTTCCACCAAAAAAACAAAAACAAAAGATAAAGTTTGATTAGAACATGGCAATATTCATTCTACTGTCTGGCTATTTTTGTGCTACGGTGCAGTGGCAAAGTTGAGTGGGTATGGCAAAGACTGGCCTGTAAACCCTAAAATATTTTAAGGTTTAAAATATTTTTTTTTCGGGCCGGGGAGATGGCTCAGTAGAATAAGTGCTTCCCTGGCAAGCACAAGGGCTTGAGTTCAATCCCTGGTTCCACCAAAAAAAAAAAAGAAAAAGAAAATAAAAAAATAGACTTTTTATCTTCACCTCCCTCATTGGTGCTCAATAGGTATGTGCATGCATGGACCAACCATCGGACCAAGAAGGAAGGAAGAGCTTTTCAGCCAGAGCAGGCTTCAGAGGCTGTACCCTTGCCCTGGATCTGGCAGCTAATAGTAGGGCCAGGACCAGAACCTGGTCTAGGCCTGGAGAGTTGGCTCAGTGGTATAAGTATCTGCCTGGCAAGCACAATGTCTTGAATTCAATCTCCGGTGCCGCAAAATAGAACAACAAAAATATTGCTGGGGAGATAGCCTAGGTCCTTAGTTCAATCCCCGGTACCAGAGAGAGAGAAAAAAAAGAACCTGGTTTACTTCTGGCACCTTGCTTTGAACTGCCTCTTGCAGGCTGCTCTGGGGAAGCTGCCCTGGCATGTTAGGCAGCAGCGTTAGTGGTGGAATATCGGAAGTCTTTATCCTTGTTAGCTTCATTAAGCTATTCCACCCTGCTTTTTGTTGGCTCCATGCTTCTCTCCTTCCATTTCCCCACCCCACTTTCCATCTCCCACATCTTCCTAACTTTCCACCCAAAGTCTGAAATCAATTATGAGATTCCAGACTGGTGGGATAAAGGGATTATTATTCTCCAATATGGAAAAATGTGTCTGTTTGTAGTGTGGGCTCAGACTAGGATGGGAAAGTTGGCTCTGTTGTTCTTTCCCCTCCATTGCAAAGAATCCTCCTTCCCCTGCTATCCCAACTCCTGTCTTTTCTATTCCCCATAAAACATGTGTACTGGCAAGGAGCAGAGTGTAGGCAGGAAGAGGGGTTTCACCATTACTTAGATCCAGTGCACCAAATTACTGCTACTGTTTTCCCCCTTTCTGGAGTGGTTCTGGGGAGGGAGCTGCCCAGTCTTTGGCCTGAAACCCACAGCACACCTGTGTGGCTGTGCCCGCCATGAGCAGCATGCCAATCTAGCTTGCCAGGAAACCTGGACTCCCAGATGCTCCGAAGCCTCTGAGTGAAGGTACTCTGTTCAGGACTAGCCCCTTCTTCCCCTTCCTGCATTTTTTTCCAGTTTCAGAAGTTGCTCTTTAGCATCCATTCCAGAGACTTTTGTTTTTTGTTTTGTTTTATTTTTTTGAGACAGGGTCTCAGTGTGTAGTCCATGCTGGCCTTGAACTCACTTTGTAGCCCAGGCTGGTTTGAACTCACTGTGATCTTCCTGCTTCAGCCTCCCGAGTGCTGGAATTGCTGGTGTGTGGCCCCATGCCTTACCACAGACATTTTTAGCAGGGTATTTGTAAAACACCCTTGTTAGCCAGTGGGCCCTGGTAGAGCCTAGACATGCTTGTGTGTCATGTGCATTTGTTATTGTGGGCATACCTCTGGGCCATAGGTACACAGCCTTCCTCAAAGGAAGCCCTTGATAGTTCTGGGGTAGAATGAGGTGTTTGGGATAGTTTCCATATGGGTTTCTCTTATCTATAGCTTAGTATTTGGAGTTATAGCAGAGAAGGCATTAGGAAGGCACTAACCAAAGGTCCAGTTTTCCTATGGTCTTTCCTTTAAATGGGGAGAATTATTAAAAAGATTTCTTTTTTAGGAGTGGCAAAGGAAGCATATCTTATTCTTTATACCCTATCACACCATGCAGTGGGAAGAACAGAAGTAAATGTCTGCACATGCTACCCAATTTGCCTTTCTTGGATAGAGATTAGGATCCCACTTGTGTAGCAGCCTCTGTTAGGTCTCAGCTCTTTCCCTCAGCCTTGTTCTTAAACCTGCTGTATGACCTTAGGCATATCACTTGACTCTTCATGCCTTGTATAAAATAGAGCAATTACCCTTAAGAATGTTAGGTTGTTGGTGGTGTGTAGACTAATAAAAATGATTGGAGGGCCCTTGGCATATAAGACGTGATGGCTGTGTGATGTAATTCATGAAAAACAACAGCAGAGTCGATGTGTGCCCTGTGCCCAGCTGTTGAGTTATGCCACACAGGAGACCTCATGAGAATGGCATTCTTCACTGTAATAGAGCAAAACTGGGTTTAGGAGCATTTAGAGCCAGCCTTCCTGTGGTGTAGTGGGAATGAATAGGGGTGCACTGGCTGCTGACCCCACCAGTACCGGTGAGGAAGGGTTAGTTACGTTAGTTACGTTAGGAGTTAGGAGTTACGTTAGGAGTCCCTTTGCCTCCCAGAATGCTCATGTTTGCACAGTGTGATTTCAACCCAGCTGGCTTGCTGACTCAGATAGAAAGCATTTGCTTTGCATTTTCCCTCTTTCCCGAACATGTTTACTGAACAAAGTCAGTATTTTCTTTGTTGGAAATTTCTTTCCCTTTTAATGTTGCTGTGACACGTTAGGCCATGTTAGACATCACTGCCTCCTAAAGCAATTGTACAGTAGCCAGGAAAGCAGCCATCTACATTTCTACACAACAGAGCCAGAAAGCCAGACCCATACCTTTCATTTGAGAATGGAAAATGCAGGTTTCCTGGGTGATGATGTAGCTTTGGCCCTTAGCATTGCCATGGCAGAGAGATGTTGGCAGGCAGTCCTGGCTCATCTCGCGATATCTGAAGGGATCTAGCATCAGAGGATACACAGCAAGCTGAGGGGAGAAGACAGGAAACTGACACATGGGAAGCACTGTTTTTGTGTCACTTGCTATCCTGTTGCCCTAATAAAGCTGTCATAACACCTGGGCTAGGTGGTTGTGAAACCATTTTTTAGAGAAACTGAATCAAAGAGTGTTAGTTAACTGGAGATGCAATTGCAAGTGCTGATGGCATTTACATCCAGTGTATCTGACTGTGCAGCCCATGATCTTTGTTGAAACCACGTCACCTAAGCTGAGGACAGGGGGTACTATAGACTTATTTCTTGTGCTTTAGGAATGAGGTGTTCAGAC